AGCAATCATATTTGAGAAAATAAATAATGAATAGATGAAAAATGTCATCGAGTTTAATACAAATAATAAAGAAAGAATCCTAGCAATTGTTGTTCATTAGCACCCAATTTTCAATAATGGATCATCAATCTCTTCTTCCAAGCTAGTATATTTCACAATCAATTGTGTTCTTCAATCTTCAAATCTTAAATCAGAAAAATGAATGTTAGAATAGTAGATTGATGAAGAATGCGTGGATGAAAAATAAGGAAAAGTTTTTTATTTACGTGTAATATTATTTTAATAAAGAATGTGTAGTTAAAAAGAAGAAAGTAAAAAATGTATTCTGATAAAAATGAGAATCAAATATTTGGATTTGTAATTATGCCTCAATATTGTATCTCTAGTCTCCCCTAATTTTGGAATGAAAAATTCCTATTAATAGGCCCAATTTAGATCTAAAATAGAGTTCTAACAGAATAGGGAATTATACTTTTAATTTAAGTAGGATATCTCAAATCGTTGAAATTTAATATTTCCTTGTGTGATTGGGTATTTGTTTTCCTCTTTTAACTCAGATTGAGTCCTTAAATTTTGCAACTAGAGTCCTTCAACTTTCAAATGTGACTCTTTGATTCCCAACGTCAAGAATATGTCCAAATTTGCTCTCTCTTTTTTTCTCTTTTTTCTTTTTCTTTTTTTTTTTATCAAGTCCAATCTCAAGTAGTTTTCTCCTAAAATAATCAAAAAAAAATGTAAAGTTAAGTATTTAATTCATAAAATTACTCTTAAAAGTTTGCGTATTGGATTTTTTATGTTTCTGGAATAGTCTTCTCAAAGTTTCAAAGATATGACAGAATTTATGGGGTTTATTGAAAGATAACTTACATTCTTTATTTGCAGGAATTAAGATTTTATGATGTTAACTGTTATGTGTTGTCATACTTGGTCAACCTACGTGGGCCTATGACCTACTCAATCTAAACCACGTGACGCTCTAGCCGAGGTGGTTTGTATATCCGAGACCTTCACACCGAGGCCCATAAGCCGAGGCCTGTGAAGATAGCCGAAGCCCTAAAGCGGAAGTACTACATGAGTGGCAGAAGCCCCGAATCCGAAACTGAAGCAGAAGCCCTCGAACCATGAAGGAACGTCTTCCATGATCACTTTTCCAAGAGATCTTCTACGTAAAGATCTTGCTAGAATGATTGATGGAACGTTTGTCATAAGTATACATGTCAAGTCTTATCATTAGCATGGGAGTTCTACATAAGCAATAAATGCGAAGCAAGCTAGCAAGTCAAGGATGATGCCTAGGATTGGATGCTTGAGTTAAGGAGATGAGGCCACGTGCCACCTCATCTAAGTGCTCCCATTTCACATGTAACACTATAAATACTTCCCCTGTATAACATTGAAGGACGAAGGCAAGAATCAATACAAGAAACCACACTTTACTCTCTCTTTCATATTATCTTACAACACAATACGAGTTCATACATGTTTACATTCACATTTGCGAGCACCGATTGGTGATTATTATACAATCGGATTAGGAACATCTCGCCGGATTCCGAATGTACTCGTTTCGCGTCGTTGAGCTACTCCCACGCCCCTAAAGAGGTTCGTTCCAGACCGTCCACATGTCATAGCGTGTAGGACCTTCACTTACGTGCTCGCGGGTGGGTTCGACATCTGTTGGCAACACTTTTCGGAGTAAACAGATTGGCGCCGTCCGTGGAAAATCATACCATAACCACGAACAACCTTGTGGTGGAAACTTATTGAAGAACATTTGGTTAACCCCCTTGAAAAAGGATTTGTTCTTGAAAAAGAACAAGAGGAGGCCCCACAACTTAGCAAAATCTAAAGTCAGACGAAAATAAAATAAGTTCCAACGAAGACACCCCTCCCCAGGAGGGTAAGAGAAAACGCAAATGTACCTCCTCCACCCACTACCCCAGCAGGTCGGCAAAGACTCCACCATCACCAAAGAAGAGGTGGAATACGGGCAACGGCCCGACTGTCAGGAGAAATGGCTGCCATGGTGGCCAACATGAGAGACATTGCTAGCCAAAACTTAACTATGAGGGAGCTCATGACCCAAATGCAAGGCCAAGGGAGCTTTCCCATTCTTCCATACGCCCCTCAGGGGCACTGCCAGTAAGAAGACGAAATTCAAAGTCATAGAACAGCCTCGTCGGACTATAGCCGAGGTAGAAGCCCATTTGAAAGGGAAGTGGAAGTTGATGTTTCCTCCAACTACGCTTCTGGACGACCTACTGAGGTCCCATTGAACCATGATAACTTCCCACCTCCATATGAGCAGAGTCAAGACAAAGGAGGGCAGGCAGTGTATTTGACAGAATCAGCCCCGCTAAACCAAGGTTTAGGCAACAGCAGACACATCAGCCTTGGACAAGACCACAGCCTCCACCTCCGATACCCCAGCAACCGAAAGAAAGACATGAAAATGTCCCCCGTGTTGCTCCGCCTAGAAATAGGCGCCAAAGGAGGGAGGAAGAGGCTAGGAACTGTCCCGGAACCTCTCACCAATTACCACGGCAAGAGGCCGAGGAATATGATTCAGATGAACAGCCAAGATCTTGTGATTTGGATTATGACGATGAAAATCTGCCGTTCTCAAGGGAACTAAGAAATGCCCAGGTTCCAAGTCACTATGTAATGCCAAAGATACCAAAGTATGACGGAAGAGGCGACCCGGAGAAGCACCTGAATGCTTATAAAACCCACATGAGCCTAAGGGGTGCCACCCCGGCTATGAAGTGCAGAGCTTTCCATTTAACACTTAGTGGAGCAGCTGAAATATGGTTTAGTAGGTTGCCGCCGGGTAGCATAAGAAGCTGGCTCGAGTTCAAGACAACATTCTCGAAGAGGTTTGCGGTAAGCAAAAAAGGAGGTGCCCCTATCCAACGTCTCCAAGACATGAGACAAGCACATGGGAAGTCCCTAAAGAGCTTCCTATCTCGCTTCACCGATGAAATGACATATTGCGTGCAAGTCACCGACCGTGAAGCACTATCCATATTAAGAAGAGGTTTGAACATGAATACCCTATTCTGGAGGGACGTGCAAAATCAGGATCCCACCACCTATGATGCCCTACTCGAGATGATGAGGCGGGAAATCATTAATGAAGAATTGATTAAGCATAGGAACAGGGCAACTAGAGGCCTCCCACCTCCTCAGAGGCAGCGTGCTAGAGGACCGACTTCCCACCTGATGGACTAACAAATGAACCAAGCTGAAAATGAGAGTTCCGGCCAAGCACTTGCCACCACCACTTTAAACGCGGTTCCTACCCTGGCATATGAAGATATCAACCCAATTACCAACACCCAACAGATGGAAACCCCCAAGGATCTCGTAGAGGAAGAGGCCGAGGTCGGGGTTCGAGACCTAGAAATAGATCGAACCAGAACCCACCAGGATACTGTGTATACCACAGGTCCTACGAACACGACACGGCAGACTGTCGAGACTTTGCGCACCGCTCCAGTGCGGAACCCCCTAGGCACAAAAATGAATCGTCTCAAGCAAATAGGCCCCCACCTAGGCACGACAACCAACGTGGGGGCGAGGAGGCCGCTCCTCGTCAAAGGGGTGTTTCCCCACGATGAAGGGAGCGTGATACGGAGAGGCCCAGGGAAGGGCACAGGCATTTAAGAAACCGACAAGTCCAGAATGAGGCTCCTATCCACGAGATAGATACCATATTTGGAGGCCCGTATGTTGGCAGTGGAACATGAAACGCCAAAAGGAATTACGCTCGGGAGGCTAAACACTCCCTTTGACAAGTTACATTGTGGACAGCAGCTCTCGGAGGAACCAAGTTCCACCCATTGTCTTCACTCAGGAAGACGCCGAAGGAGTTCACTTTCCCCATTGCGACGCACTTGTTGTGAGGGCCGTCATAGCCCGAAATGGGCTCAAGCGAATGTTAATTGACAACGGTAGCTCTGTCAATATTCTATTCGGATCCGCCTTTGAAAAGATGATATTGGATCATCAGTTGACACTCACTACAACTCCTCTGTATGGATTTATCGGAGATAGCATCACTCCAAGGAGAAAGATAACACTTGCAATAGAGATGGGAAAGTCCCCAAACTACGATGAACTTCATGGAGTTCCTCATTGTTGACAGTTGATCGACGTACCATGGAGTATTAGGTAGGCCAGCCCTAAAGGAATTGGGAGCAGTCACCTCTATCCACCACTTGTGCATGAAATTCCCAATGGAAAATGGGGTAGCAACGGTGAGAGGTAACCAAAGAGGGTCGCGAGAGTGCTATCTAAGCTCCATAAAAAAGGTAGAGCCCCGAGACGTCCATGTAATCATAGCCGATATAGTCATAGCTGACATCCCAGGTGATGCTCCCACTGAACCAGAAGATATCAATATGATAGATGCACCACCCAATTCGGAGGTCTTGGTCATTGACGAGATCAATCCCCGCATAATTGAACACGAACCTCAAGCATCCCTAGTCAAGGAACTTGAGAACTTCTCAGTGGACCCCCGAGACCCATCCAAGATGCTAAGAGTAGGCAAGGGCTTATCCTACACTCTGAAGGAAAAGATTAAAGACTTCCTAAGCTAGAACCTTGATGTCTTTGCCTGGAAGCATGAGGACATGGTACGCATAGACCCCAAGGTCAGTTGCCACCACCTGAAGGTCGATCCTAAGGTTCTCCCACACAGGCAAAAAATGAGAGCCCTCAATCCTGAAAGGTACGAAGCTCTGAAGGAAGAGGTTCAGAAGCTCATCCAAAATGGCTTTATCAGGGAAGCTACCTATCCGAGGTAGGTCTCCAACCCAATTTTGGTAAAGAAACACAATGGCAAGTGGAGGGTGTGCATCGATTTCACCAACCTCAACAGAGCTTGCCCGAAAGACAGCTTTTCTCTCTCAAGGATTGACCAACTAGTAGACTCCACGGCTAGGCACGAGTTGTTGAGCTTCATGGACGCATACTCCGGCTACAACCAAATACCCATGCTCCCGGCCGATGAGGAGCGCGCTTCTTTCATCACAGATAGAGGCCTCTATTGTTATAGGATGATGCCGTTCGAGTTGAAAAATGTCGGAGCAGCTTACCAAAGGCTCGTCAACAAAATATTTATGGACCTCATCGGCAAGACAATGGAGGTATATGTGGATGACATGTTGGTAAAAAGAATGGAGGCTGAGGACTACATAACACATCTCAACAGCACATTCCAGATCTTGAGAAGATATAGGATGAGGCTCAACCCTCTCAAATGCACCTTTGGAGTGGCTTCAGGCAAATTCTTGGGATACATGGTCAATCAACGCGAAATTGAAGCCAACCTGGAGAAGATTGAGGCCCTGTACAAGATGAGGTCTCCCCAAAAGCCAAAGGAAGTGCAAAGTTTGACCGGGCGGGTGGCCGCACTTAGCTGCTTCGTCTCCAAAACTACAGACAAATGCCTCCCATTTTTCAAAGTGCTGAAAGCGGGGAAAAAGTTCCAATGGAACGAGGAATGTGAAGAGCCCTTCCAAGGCCTGAAAAGGCACTTGGGGCAGGCCCCCCTCCTCTCCAAATTGAAACCCGAAGAAATCCTACAACTATATCTGGTCGTCTCAAATGAGGCCATCAGTTCGGTTCTGACTCGAGAAGAGGGAACCGCCCAACTTCCAGTTTACTATACAAGTAAAGCACTCCATTCGTCGAAAACTCATTACCCCGATATGGAGAAGCTCTCTTTGGTCTTCATCACGGCCTCTAGGAAACTAAGACCCTACTTTTAAGCTCACACCATCCACGTGTTGACAAACTTTCCCCTAAGGCAAGTGCTCCAAAAGTCTGATGCCTTAGGAAGATTATTGAAGTGGGCAGTGGAGCTAAGCGAATTTGACCTTATATTCAAGGCTAGGGCAGCCATCAAGGGTCAGGCCTTAGCTGACTTTGTGGCAGAATTCACCAACTTACCCGACGTCGATGAAATCATGGAACCCGCTGAGCCTCCTACATGGAACTTATTCGTAGATAGGTCGGCTGAAGACGCCGACTCAAGTGTTGGAGTGGTCCTCATCAGCCCTGAAGGTCACAAGCTAAACTCAGCGGTGATGTTCGGGTTCAAGGCTACCAACAATGTAGCAGAATATGAGGCACTACTTGCAGGCCTCAGGCTGGCCAAGGAAATGCAAGTAAAGAGGCTCCTCATAAGTAGTGACTCCCAGCTGGTTGTTAGCCAAGGAAATGGGAACTTCTTAGCCAAGGACAAAACAATGGCCTCCTACCTGAAAATAGTGATGAACCTCATCCCATCCTTTGAAAAATTCGAACTAATTCAAATCCCCTGCATCGAAAATTCTCATGCGGATGCACTTTCCAAGCTCACTAGTAGCAAGGATTCGGAACTACTCACGGTAGTACCCATAGAGCACCTCCTCCTACCATTGACCGAGGCCCCCAATGTCACGTGGGTCGCTGGGACCCCTACCTGGATGCAGCCGATGTAGCATACCTTAAAGACCAGGTACTTTCCACTGACAAGCTTGAGGCCTCCAAGCTAAGGAGGAGGTCAGCCCACTTCCTCTTCATTGATGATGTTCTCTTTAAGAGAAGCTTTTCCTCTCCACTCTTACGGTGCGTCGGAGGAGAAGAGGCTAACTACATATTAAGAGAAGCGCACGAGGGCGTGTGCAGTAATCACTCTGGAGGTCTATCTTTAGCACAAAAAATATTGAGGCAGGGGCACTACTGGCATACCCTAAAAAGGGACGCCCTTCAGTTTGTACGAAAGTGTGACAAATGCCAACGATTCTCTTCGGTACAAAGATAACTGTCACAGGATTTGACTGCGGTCTCCAGCCCTTGGCCTTTCTCAAAGTGGGGTGTGGACCTCATACGTCCTCTACCTAAAGGTAGAGGAGGTGCAAGCTTCGCAATTGTGGCCATCGATTACTTTACAAAATGGGTTGAGGTCGAACCGCTGGCCAAAATTACAGAAGCAAACACTTCCAAGTTCTTATGGAAGAATATTATGTGCCGGTTTGGGATCCCCTATTCGATCGTCTCAGATAATGACAGAGAATTCGACAACAAGAAGGTCAGAGAACTATACGAGGAACTTGGCATCAAGAAACATTTCTTCACACCTCACCACTCACAAGCAAATAGCCAAGTTGAGGCTGTCAACAAAACAATCAAACATGTCTTAAAAATAAAGCTTGATATGTCGAAGGGGGCCTAGGTGGATGAGCTGCCACAAGTGCTTTGGGCAATCTGAACCACCACCAGGACCCCAACTGGAGAAACACCCTTCCTCATGGCATTTGGAACTGAGGCGATGAGCCCCGTTGAGGTCGAACTACTGTCTCCAAGACGTCTGCATTTTAGTGAGATGACAAATGACGAGCTTAGGAGGTGCGACCTCGACTTCATTGAAGAAAGAAGAGATGACTCCCAACTGAAGCTCGGTACATATCAAAGGAAGATGACGAGGTACTTCAACTCAAAAGTCAAGAAGAGATCATTCCGAATCAACGACTTGATCCTTAGAAGAGTTTTCCTTTCCTCAAAGGAACTTGGTTCCGGTTCCCTGGTCTGAACTGGGAAGGCCCATATAAAATCAAAGAAGAGATTCGACCTAGAACTTACTGGATTGAAGACATGAACGGCAAGGTACAACCCCATTCATGGAATATCGAGCACCTCAGAATCTATTACCAATGAGTGTATCACCTCACTGGAAGGTCTTTCCCAGCTCATGTAACGCTTCTATGATTCAATAAAATTCATTTGCTTAAAACTGTTGCATTACGTCGTAACCTCGGAGGAGAGGCAAGCGTCCGTTTTGGGCCACCTCGCTTGAACTCCGATGTTCATGCACATGCCTCCCTTTTTTACGAGGCTGAACGTCAAAGGGAGAAGCCCCAACATGGCTACACCATCCACTGTGTTAGGAAGCGTCGTAACTTCGGAGGAGAGGCAAGCGTCCGTTTTGGGCCACCTCACTTGAACTTCGAGATTCATGCACATGCCTCCCTTTTTGATGAGGCTGAACGTCAAAGGAAAAAGCCCCAATATGGCTGCATCATCCACCATGTTAGGAAGCGTCGTAACCTCGGAGAAGAGGCAAGCGTCCATTTTGGGCCACCTCGCTTGAACTTCGAGGTTCATGTACATGCCACCCCTTTTTGACGAGGCTGAACGTTAAAGGGAGACGTTTCAGGCTCGTACACGAATCAGAATAAAATTCCAACTTCGGCTGCAATGATTTATTCTTAAAACCTCCTCAGGTTACAGTTATTAACCTTAAGTACAATTCATTTGCTTAAGTCCAATATTGGTCATAACTTTTATACAATTTATTTGTTAAGTGATTGGAGTTGGGATACCCAGTTAAAGTTATTTAGTCCATCAATATTTTACGTTCAATTGCTTGGCGAGGCCAATACACTTAGAGAAAGGAACAACATTAAACAAAAGAGATATTATATTAATTTTCAATTGAAAATACAAAGGAGGGCTTGAGGCCAGTACATCATCAATGATTGAAAAGAAAACTATCCTAAGCCTGGGAAGGTGATGGAAGTGCTTCAACGGCTGGGACTTCCACAGTTTGAGCGTCAGAAATTGCTTCTGCTGCTTCTGTTGCTTTATCTCCTACCGTCTCATCAGCTGGGGTTTGAGGCACCTAGTCCACAAACTCCGACCTGTGTTGCGACAGGTCCTAATTTGGGTACAATTCCTCAGCCCGCTCCATCACCTCGATGTAAGCAAAGTTCCTCCAGTAGGTGCCGAAGCTCTGGTACTCCGCAGTGTTGTGGAAATCAGCAATATAATCCTTTACTGCCTCTTCCCTTTCATTTTGGGCTTCCTCCCTAGCACGAGTTGCATCATCGACACACCACTTGATTTGGCCCTCGAGGTACTTGTATGCATCTTGGGCCCCTGCCAGCTCCAAATTAGCCTTCTCCAAGGCTTCAACCGTCACCCTTTGGTGGTTATTGGAAACCTCCACCTTCTTCGTCAAGGAGGCCACCTCGCACTGGGACTCATGCACCTTCCTCTTCAACACCTCTATCTGAGCCATGGCAAACTCCAGCTTGGCGATTCTTCAAGTTTTTGGGCCTTGGCATCTTCAGCTTCGGCCCAAGCTACCTTCAGTTCCTCTGCAAGGGAGGCAGTCTTTTTCTCAGAGGACAGGGTCCTCGTCTGAAAGTCTGTAAGAGCCTCCCTACACTCCAGTGCGAGACCAAAGGTCCTAACACTTTGGCTCACAAGAGCCCTGGTTAAATCCATCGCATCGCAGGAAGAGGCATGTAGCTGCCACCAATCCGTCCAAAATCTATAAAAACTTTCAGTGGCGCTTCGGATCTCAGATGGCAGGGCCTCCACCAAAGCTAGGGCCAAAGGCTCCTCCCTGCCGACAAGGAAGCTCGGAGACTTGCCTTGTACGTGAACAGGTCTCTCTTTGGCAGCCTCCTCCTCAGCTGCCTCGGCTTGCCTCCTCGCAGCCTTCTCAGCCTCAACACGCGTGACCATTTCAATTTCAACCACTTTCGAGGCGCTTCTAGTAGCTTCAGCGGTCCGGCTTCTTTACCTTGGGACACAGAACTCCCAAGTTTCCTAGAAGATCTGGAGAGGTGCACGAGTTTCCTCTTCTTCGGCTCCTCAGTGATCTTCTCCTTCCCCCGAGGCTCTTTGGCCTTTTCTTGCCTCTGGGGGACCCCCTCTTCGGAAGCCCATGAAGTACTGTCCTTGGAGAGTCGTTCAACCCTACCTCGGACCTCCTTTGCACCACTGGACCAGGGCTTCAGGGGCCCTGCCATCACAGTAGAAGTTGCCTTCAGAATGGACGCCATGTCAGGAGCCGGGTACCCCTTCCTCTTAAACTTATCTGCACAACACACTACGTCATTACCAAAACAAAAACACAAAAATATAAAGTGTGGAAGCTTCATACCCTTGGAGGCCATCAGTTCGAAGTCCAGGAAATAGCGACTTCTATCGATGAGGTGGTCGAAGTGGCGAAACTTTAGAGGTCTCTTGTAAATATCTTCTATTACTTCAAACTCCTCCCTGCTCAGCTCGAACCTCGTACTGCAATCTACAAACGAAGCATCAACAGTTAGACAAACAATTAGAGCTAAAAAAGGAATCCAAACTACTAGGGTGGGAGACTCACGAGCTTCGTAGTACTGGGTTGGTATTGTGCAAGACAGGGCTTTGTCTTCCTCCACCGCTTGCCACCTGCCCCTAACCCAGAACCACGACTCCTTCCACCCCTTTATGGAAGAAGGTAGCCCCACCACAAAAGGCGCATGGGCCCCCTAGGGAGTCAAGTAATACCACCTTTAGGCTGAAAGAGGGTCATAAAAACGTGGAGAGGCATGTTCTCCCCAAGCGACACTTCCTTCCACAGGAAGTATGACCCGACCAACTGGCTCCATCCATTTGGCAGAACCTGGGTCGGCGACAACATGAGTTCCTCAGCACAGCCCTGAAAAAGGGGTGCAGAGGAAGACGCATACCTGCCTTAAATAAATATTCACTCACTGCAACGCACCCCTGCCTCGGATAACAGGCTCGCTCATGAGCCTCGGGGACTAGCATCTCCACATAATGAGGTACATAGTACCTCTCCCTTATCTCTCCCAACCTCTTCGACGTCATATTCGAAGGAACTCTAGACGCCCCCTACTCTACATTGTAATCTACCTCCTCTTCGGTCATAGCAATCTGCTCAACCTCGGAATCCCCCTATAACTAGACCCCTGACTAAACGACGTGACAGTGACCAACTCCCTACCCGAAGTCGACTCCATCTCAGAAAGCAACTAAGAACACAATAAGAGGATTTTCTGTGAAAAATACCTACTGAAATACTAAGCGAACTGAGTTTGCCGGAAAAGCAGTAAACGGGATTGCCTTAACGCCGGAATGTCTAAGCTCTAAGGGGAGAAATCAGAATGCAAATGCTGGAAAATTCTGAAAAAGGGAGTTTTCTCGCATTTTATAAAGGGTCAGGACGAACCCCCACCGTCAGATCGAAGCTCATTCAATCTAAACCCTTCATTTTAAATCAAATCCAAGGTATAGAATTCAAACAATTTTTCAAACCTACGCCTTAGATTTAAGCGTGTCTCCCACGCACCTCAGCCAATGCGTCTGCTTTTAGAAGCTCCAGCTGTTCTAATAATTACGATTTTAATTCGGCGACAGCAGGCGCCGTGGAAGTTGCAACAATTTAGCCACCTCTCCTCGAAAACATGCGCAAAATATCAAATCATTGGCACAACTAACAAGGAACAATTATTATCAATTAACCTCGGCTTCATCTTCAACATTCAGTCATCAAGCCTCGCAGGTTCGATTTCCCAACCACCTCGGCTTCATCTTCAACATTCAGCCATCAAGCCTCCCAGGTTCAGTTTCCCAACCACCTCGGCTTCATCTTCAACATTCAGCCATTAAGCCTCACAGATTCGATTTCCCAACCACCTCGGCTTCATCTTCAACATTCACCCATCAAAATTCGCAGGTTCTGTTTCCCAACCACCTCGGCTACTACATCATTCACCCACAACAACACATTTCAAACTCCAATCATGATAAAAATATCTATACTTGGACTTGGGGGACTATTATTTATGGTTCAAAAATTCTTTCAATTTTCACCCAACCCACTGGCGTTACTTAATTAAAGCCCACGCATTATATAAATGACTATACTTGGACTTGGGGGACTATTGTTATGTGTTGTCATACTTGGTCAACCTACGTGGGCCTATGGCCCACTCAATCTGAACCATGTGGCGCTCTAGCCGAGGTGGTTTGTATATCCGAGGCCTTCACGTCAAGGCCCATAAGCCAAGGCCTGTGAAGATAGCCGAAGCCCTAAAGCGAAAGTACTACATGAGTGGCAGAAGCCCCGAATCCGAAGCAGAAGCAGAAGCCCCCGAACCATGAAGGAACGTCTTCCATGATCACTTTTCCTAAGAGATCTTCTACGTAAAGATCTTGCTAGAATGATTGATGGAACGTTTGTCATAAGCATACATGTCAAGTCTTGTCATTAGCATGGAAGTTCTGCATAAGCAATAAATGCGCAGCAAGCTAGCAAGTCAAGAATGATGCCTAGGATTGGATGTTTGAGTTAAGGAGATGAGGCCACGTGCCACCTCATCTAAGGGCTCCTATTTCACATGTAACACTATAAATACTTCCCATGTATAACATTGAAGG